GATGGTTGAAAAACAAGAAAAGAACAGACTAGTAGAGAACTTAAAGAAAGCTGCAAAGATTGGCGCTTTGCCAAGTTTGACGAGAAGTTGCCTGGCGAGAAACCTCCAAAGCACCCTGGCAAACGACAGAGGGCCTGTTTGGAACGTAGAAATCACACAGAAATTTCACAGGAATCAGTTCAATTTCACAGGAAAAATACAGGAATAGAAAAAAAAAATCCCGCATTCCAAACAGGCTCAGAAAGTTTTTTATATATATCTGAATGGCTTTGATTTCTGAGTCTGTACCGTCGTAGGCTGATTTTGTTCACTAGCTGAACCATGCCGTTTCTGCAGTTCCTCCCAGTTGCGAAGGGAAGGGAAGGGAAGGGGCAGCCTGGAGAAACAGCAGAACGACAAAACCCTGAACTCTCTACTTGCCAGAAACTCCGATGAAACGCTTGATGTCGGCAAGGCAAGTTCCAGGATCCAACCGCTTACATGAAGTTGCGTTTCGCCCACCATTGTTGGTACTACTACATGTTTTGTTCGGGGTGAGCTAACAGCATCTGTGTTCGATCTGTGAACAATCTTCTAAGGAGGCAATCACAATGTGCAAGGTGAATAAGGAAAAAACAAAGAAGGAAAGAGAAAGATATGTCATCAAAGTCCAATAAGCTAAGCGCATGTTTGGTTACTAAAATTTTGCAAAATTTTTCAAGATTCTCCGTCACATCGAATCTTTGGACGTATGCATGAAGCATTAAATATAAATAAAAAATAAAACTAATTACACAGTTTAGACGAAATTCACGAGACGAATCTTTTAAGCCTAATTAGACTATGATTGGACACTAATTGTCAAATAACAACGAAAATGCTACCGTACCATTTTCAAAAAAATTCGCCAACTAAACGAGACCTAAATCCACATCAACAAGAAGTCATCGAAGAAAAAGGCTTAGGTCCACGTCTTTCAGGTGACCACAGTTTTGAAGCTCATGCAAGGAGGCCTGTCAGCGTTTTCTATTGTACTTGTTCGCTTTGAATCTATATATGTTATTCCGTTTACTGGTTATGACACAAAAACCTAAATGATGTTAATGCCCCGTTCGCTTCGCTGAAAAAACAAGCTGAAATACTGTTCCAGCTGATTTGTTACGAGAGTAAAACAATGTTCCGGCTAAAAAAACAAGCTGAAAAGTACGGATTATAAGACAAACGAACAATATATTATGCTCTGATATGCACCCAGCTTGTACTTTTCAAATTTTGTTTGGGATGTGGTTTGGAACAGTCTCTTTGTGGTTTGGCTGCCTGCTCGTGCTCGTGAAGCTTGTGATCCCTCCATCTGAATCTGATGAGTGCAACGCTACGCTGCTTTGGGCAGGCTGGGGGCGACCACTGTTCCGCTAGGCTGTGGCTGAGGCCAGAGGCCACCACAGGCCAAGCCACTCAACAGTATGGCTCCCTTCGATTGCTGCTGATCGATCTGCTCTGCCTGCGCGTCCACATGCAAATGTAATGCAATGCGAGTTGTAACAAAATTATATTATATTATTTCTCTCGCTTCGCTTGCAATTGCATGCCTCGTCTCTTCGTTGCAGCATCCAACATGTTCACACACCTTGGCGTCTTGCAATGCAGAGGATTCTCTCTCTTTGGATGGCAAACACATGCATGTATGCTAAGGAAGGGTGACGGTCCAGTAGTCTCAGCTAGCAATGGCAATAGCATGTTCACACACACACACAAAAGCAATGGCAGCAGCTGTGGCATGCGTGCTACGTGGTTGAGGTACAGTACTGGTGTGTGCTAAACTGCCAATGGTGCATAGTATCAACGTCGCGCCACCCTACCGCTCTGATAGTACTAGTAATAGACTAGGCTAGTGGTAATCTAGCTTGATTGGGTTTGGCACTGACCGCTCTGTGTGTCTATATATGCCAGTCAGTCATTGGCGCAATAAACAGTATGTTCGCTGGGTCGTAAACGATCGTAAATTTTCAGTTAGAATAGTATTTTTCTCTCACATCAAATTAATCAGCAGTAATAATCCACAATTGTATATGATCGTTTCAGCCCCAGCCGAACAGGCTGAAAGCTAGCGCCCCTGATTTGCTCATCTATCCAATCCAATCCTGCACGATTTCAGGACGGATTTAATTAATGAAACTAGTAATTAACCTGGTGCTGTAGACGTTGGTGCATTTATCCATTGGCGCAAGAAGTGGCTGCCGTTTTGCTTATCCAGTTCTGCACAACTCTTTTTTTTTTCACGACGGGGGAGTACGACCCGTTTTTTATTAAGCAGAGCGAATTACACGAGAGAATCCTCGTAGCATAGATCACATACCACAAAGATAGTGGTTTTTGACCCGGAATAAACATAAGGACAAGAAAAAGAAAAATAGAGAGCGACAACCTCCACCACCCTACACCTACTAACTGAGCTTGCAAGAAAAAAGATACAACAACGCAATGGTTTCCTACGCAATAGACCAAACCGTGGTGGCAAAGCATCCACCCAGTGAACCAGCATCCAGTAGCAACGGCGACAAAGCATGCGTCAACGAAGACCGAGCGACCACGGCGGCGGCAAAGCATCCGCCAAGAAGTGGGCTAACACACTCTCGGCAGCAAAGCATCTACCAAAGAGGGGGCCAAAGAGCCAATGGCGGCAAAGCATCCGCCAAGGATCCACAGACGACCAAGCATCCGTCCGGGAAGAAGACACAAAGCATCCGCAGAGGAGAGCGGCCATGACACTCTCAGCAGCAAAAGCATTTGCCAAAGAGGAAGCCAGCGACAACGACGACAAAGCATCCGCCAAAGGAGAAAGCGGTAGCGGCAAAGCATCCGCTAGTAACGACGTCGGCGAGGTCAAGTGCAGCAGGACAAACCATTGCGGTGGAACATAGACACACACAGGCACAGCTGGGAACTTCTCCAGGAGCCGGCTTCACAGCAGGAACCACAGACGTCGACGATGACACGGGGAACGAGCGAGAAGCCGTTATTAGCCTTCAGCAAGGGAGTGACGCCCAAGGCAACCACCGTGGACACCACTGCCGCTGGCCTTAGAGGCATCTAACGCGGGGCTTACGTCCAGAATCCGGCCTTGTCGGAGCAGAGGTATGGGTTCATCAACGACGTCTTGAAAGAGGTACGTGGCGCCCGAGGCATCACCATCGTCCACCCGGTCAAAGCCGAGGTGAGCTTTCGCCCAGCAGAGTTGAAATACTTGTATCATGTACTACTTATACTCTTGGATTTTGAATCGTGCATGCATTCAGCATCGCACACTTCCCGCGGATCATTGCGGTGCAAGTGCAACTGTGCAGATGCAGATCAGTTGTCGCCATAGCTTTTCAGGACTAGCTTTTGCGCTCCTACCCGGAGTCAGAGCAAGTTCAGTTCTGACTGACTTGTGCCCACCTGCGTCGTGAGCTAGCTAGTCGACTCGTAAAGCAGTGCAAATCCATTCACGTTTACACAGTGCTTGTGCTTGCATATGCATCGCAGTATCTCACACATCACTTTTCCGAGCAGAGGTAGCTAGAGCATGCAGCCATTCACTGACTGGCTGCTGGACTGGTCTCTGCATTTTTTTTTCTTCTTTCATCAGTGCACGAAAATAGCAAAGGGCTGGAAGTATAATACGTACGCGCAGCATTCGTACAGGAAACGACCACACATTATTGAAACGTCAGTGTGCTTGCTCATGTGTTGCTAGTACGTGAAGGACTCCAAACCAGCTTGGCAGCGTCAGGAAATGATGACCAGATTATAGTACTCCAACCGACTATCAGTACCACCGCTGCGTGCCTGTCTCTGCCTGACGGTGCCATGGACGGCGACGACAACGAACAGAGAAGGGACCCTGCCATGCCATGCCATGCCATGCAACTTACGGGGCTCACCATGTTTTCAGGCAAAGGCAACATACAAAAAAGATGGAGGGAGAAGAGAACGATGGACAACGACCAGCCACATGAGAAGAGTACGCGTATCGACAGGGATGGCCACGACTGCAGCCAGAGCCAGCTCGAGCAAGCATAGGCTCACCTGTCACCTACTACACCTCTTTTGAAGTTTACACACAAAAAGAAATGCACTTTGTGCATTCCTAGGATCCATGGTAAAAGTGCATGCATGCGCAAAGTGGATGGTTACGCTGCACCAAATTTCATGGAAAAAAATATGACCACATCTGGCTTCTGTAGTTCTGTGAGTGGAAAAGAGAGAGCCTTTATCATTTTTGTGAAGAAAAATGCATGATGAGTAACTTGTCTTTTTCCAGAAGAAATTCTACAAGAATACATATTTTCCTGTCACTTAGAGTCTGTTTGGATTCTTTTTTTTAGGAAAGTTTGTTTGGAATGTAGCGGCTAAAAATTAGCATTATGTTTGGAGGCTATTTAGAAGGACCAAAAGTGAACTAATTTCAAAATTAATTGCATAAGCGATGACTAATTGGTGAGACGAATCTATTCTATTCTAATCCTAATTAGCCCATGTTGAGCTAATCATAGGCTAATTAGGATAAATAGCTTCATCTCACCAATTAGCCACCGTTTATGCAATTAGTTTTGGAATTAGTTTATGTTTGGTCCTTCTAGTTAGCATCTAAATACAGTGCTAATTTTTAGCGGGTTGGATCCAAACATGCCCCTATTTTCAAAATGCACAAGTGCATGCAAGTTTGAAAATTGAAATGAGGTGTCGCTAGCTAGCCCAAGCTAACTCACCACGCAAATCATTCATTACCGGACAACCACTGAAGCTAATAAGCTCTGTCTTGAGGCCTAATAAGAATATACAATTATATTACACAACAGTCAACGGCTACATCTGCATTGCCAATTGCCATGCAAGATTCATGATCAATCAAGCTCGCAAGATACATATCAATCAACAAGCACCATTTGATGTTTGTCATGACACGAATCAAACGAAATGAAATCAGTTGCACACATCCGCATTAGCCCTGATGATGAGTGATGAGCACTCGCCTTCGCCTACTCTGTTTGCGCTCGGTGGTGTTCGCCTATCTTGGCAGCCTGAAGATGGCGGCTCTGCTTCAAGCCGGATGAGCAGGCGGGGGAGGGAGCAGAAGCAGAGGAGGCGAGCGCGACGAGCAGGTCGACGAAGGCGCCGACGATGAGGCCGTGCGTCTTCTTGCCGTTGGCCCTGAGGTACCACCCGAGCATCTCCTCGAGCCAGCCCCAGTCGTCGGCGCCGTGGCTCAGCACCATCTCCTCCATGGACCGCCGGAAGTCGCCGTACGGGTCGGCCGACTCGATGGCCAGCGCCGTGGCGCCGTCGAACGTCGCGGCCGCCTTTTTCGTCTTCACGATGGAGCTCGTGGACTCGGGCTCGAACAGGAGCCGGCGGGTGGTGGAGGAGCGGAGGCCGTGGATGATCGCCTCGTCCTCGTCCGCGGCGACTTCCGGCGGTGTTGGAACAGTCTATTGTTGGTTCTTGAAACCCGCCCAAATGGAGCGGTGCTGGCTAGCGCCAATGAAGCTACGGTCGGGTCGACGGTGTTGGTCTAATGTTGGCCTCTGAGTTTACCTTGCGGTGTGAAATTACACAGTTGAAATCTTTTAGCTAAACTGCAGACGATGATTGGTTGATCCGATACCTTGTCAAGCTGCAATCGTTTGCAGTGGTACAAAGTGGAGACCAAGCTGCCATCGTTTGTCAAGCGGCTCCTCCCATGTCGTCTGCACACCGCTTCCATCGACATGCCGAAGCTAATGCAGTGCCGTGAAGAAACACGTCTTCCTTCCAACAGTGTGCTGGTGTTGGTGCTTCCAGTATTTCGATGTGAACATGCATGGGCCAGTACAGTAGCTGCTAATAACTATCTCTTTGGATCCGAACAGGTCTAGCTAATAGTTTAACTAATTGTTATATGATGAGTACTCAACTAATAACTAGTATTTCACTAGTTGGATCAAACTTGCTAATAGCAGCTAATATTAGCAGGTAATGGACCCAAACAGGTCCTAAGACTGTTCCTTAGATGACTAGTCATTCAGTGCATACTACGTACATATACGAAGAAGAAGAAAAAAACATATGTTCTCCATCTGAGCCTGCATACTAGGAAAAAGCATAGGCCACACACAGGCATCTTGTAATTGGGAGACCTGCCATCTCTCACCGCACCATATTACAAGACCACGTATAACAGAAGCTAAGCAAAAGGCTGTGAAAGACCAGTCGATCAAGCTCACTCGTTGAGCTCTCCATCCGTGTCACTGTCCAGGTCCTCCTGCAAGCCATGTGGAAGGTTACGTTATGCCAAATATCAACACTTAACCCGCTAGTAGATGCATATGCATACTCTAATCCCTGCCACAATTCCTCCATGATCCAACTCACTATAATATGAAAACTCAATAACATACTCCAACAGAATCAAGTCTGAGTTCTGCCTACGTAGGGACAACAACGGTAGGGTATGGTCCAGACTCCAGAAATACCTAACCACTTTCAATTTCACATTTTTATCTGAAATCAAAATTAGAAAAGTCATTTGGAAAAACGATTCAGGTATGTCGGGATGTCGAAAGCTGACCTATTCCGCTGCAAACATCATGTCGGTAACTATCCAGAAACAGTAATTGATATCGGGAAAATGTAACCATGACTCAGAACAGAAAACTAAATATGGCCAAAACATATTACTATATAACCACGAGGATGAAAACCCACATCGGACCAAGCTAAAGGAAAAAAGAAAAATGGAACAGATAGCACAAGAGGTTCCTGCGAGAACCCCTGGCACTAGAAGTCAAAGTGAGCTGGCCCAATCAACCTAGCAAGAGTGCAAGACATGGGTGATGCTATCAGGCGCCTAAGTTCATGCATGCATCTCAAGCCACTGGGCTGAAGGCATACCATGTTATGTATGGGCCTCTTTGAGATGGGTATCCCACCAGGAAATTCCTGGTTAAAGACGGGATACCAAAGAATCAGTCAAGAAAAGGCTCCTACCAATTTCAACCTTGTTTCCTCCTGATGGTTCCCAGTTTTGCACTGAGTTTGGAATGTTATGAAGAAACGGGATACAGTCAGGAAAACAGTAAATGGGATACCCCTATGCCCCCACATACTCTAAAGATATCTGAAACCACAGTCGAATTGGGAAGCAATACTCCAGGAAAAAAATAGCATGATTGCATCTTTCTACTGGATGGTGGCTCTGGTTGTAAAACTTCATATAATAGCGCAGGCAATGTAGACAAGGGAGCCATAGAAGAACATTACCGAAACAGTTTGACTGAAGAGTCAATTGGCCATGCAAAGCGCACAGAAGTAAAGGGTCATTTCTCAAGTCTGGAAAACTGGGGTATTATGGAATCAAAGAATGCAAAGAAATAGTGGTATGTATCTTCTGTGGAGAATATTGTCACGTGACAGAAGGATGTGTATGGCCAAGTTAATCATTAAAATCTGTATAATCATAAGAAGATGAATGTGCTTGCGCTGCTGTAAGTACAGGATGGGATATAGTGGTTTGAGTTGGAAAAGGGTTTTTACCTGATGTTTGACTGGAACTAGAAGCTAACGGCTATAGACTATGGTGTATATAAACTCTTTGAGTCTTGATGTCAGTTCCTAACCATGAGAGAGGTGATGTACTAGTTCAGAGCACTGGGTTAAAGTATCACCGGCAATCAGAGTTCATGTGGCATGCCTTACCTGCTAAAGGTAGCCTGGTGGGAATATAGTTGGTGTTACATACGCAACTTGAGGTCGGGGGAAACAAAGGATTACAGGTTTTTCTGTCAAATTATTATTAGTTAGACATAAAGCAAATGGGTTCAAGACATCATTTGGTGAACTGGTGCATAGTGTTGCAAGAAGAGGACAAATAGCAGTTTCAAAACAACCAACACTGATAGATGGTGACTTCGATATTACCAAAAAACAATTATAAGAACATATCTAGAGGGAGCTCTAAGTAGACTTTCCTTTTTATGATCATTGAAACAAAAAGGGCGTACCCAGTGCAGAGAGCTCCCGCTCTGTGCGGGGTCTGGGGAAGGGTGTTAGTGGCAAGCCTTACCCTCGCCTGTGCAATGCGAGGAGACCGCGGCTCGAACCCGGGACCTTCCGGTCATAGGCGGTAAGACTCTAACGCTTGCACCAAACCCGCCCTTCATCATTGAAACAAAAAGATTTAAGCGAAATTGATTTAATAGAAAACTCACTGTGCTAGTTCTCTAGATAACCCTACCTAAGAGGTGCTATTCAAATAAAATCAAGGTCCTTTTATATTCAAAACAATGTTGGTTCTCAGGGGAGGAATTGTCTGAGGTGGTAGAAAAGTTTTGGCTAGCCCACTCTTAGGGGATCTAATCATGTACACTGAAAAATGGTAGGACAAACAGAGAAGACTGAGAAGTGATTTGAGTAGTTGGGATAGATATTTCTGGTCCTTCTTGAAAGTTGAAGCTAGTACTTCTTAAAAACTTGATGATATATAGATAAAAATAAAAAGTTGAAACTATTGGTATGATGTGAAACCTGAAATCTATAAGATAGAAGTTTGCAACCCAACAAAAAGTTTCTTTACCTTGAACAGAACCTGAGCTTGAGCTGAAGCTCTTCTGCATTTTAGTAACTCATTTAGTGGGTCGTCCTGAGAAACTGGGCATACATCCACAGACAATGTGCGAAGAAGGCTTGCTTTAGAGAGAATAAGCTTCATAAAAGACAATGGAAACGACCGAAAATAACTATCTATCTGCACAACTTGAAGATTGGCACACATGCCATCAGTCCACTGTGCATCAGTCCACTCTTCACTTTGGATGTCTGAATTTGTAACCCATTTTGGCTCCCAATCTCGAATCTTCGCCAATAAAAGTAATAAAGAAAATCAGTTGGCAGCAGCAAGATGACTTTCAAAAACATAATGATGGATATCCAAGAGATAACAATATAACATTCAACATTACCTCAATTTTAAGTTCTTCGAGGTTTGGGGAGCTCCTCAACAAGGAGAACAATAGCAAAATGGGTTCCATGTAACCAAAGAGCGTTGATATTTCCAAGCTCTTCAAGTTGTGAAAGGTAAATGGAATTCTATCTATCTTAACCTCGTCCTGATTGCCCTGCGAGATAAAAAAGATGTGATGGTAAAATGAAAACATAAAAAAAACTGAACGCAAGTGTAGAAAGATGGATGAGATTTGTAGTATCGTTTTCAAACAAGGAAGCATAAGCCCACAAAAGCACTGCAGGAATGGTACCATCAAACATTTCTCCTTTATTAAGGTGGCATTTCATATTATTTTGTTAAATCAAGGTAACCAAGTTTACTACTTATTATGAGTACGAACCAAGTACTAATATTTCTACCTTGATCATGCCGGTTCATAAGGGTGTCATAAAACCCTTTAGCTTGCTGGAGCCAAAATAAAATCTTACATTAGAAGCTAGTTCATACAAGATTTTAAAAGCCCACTTGTTGGAAGCTAGTTCATACAAGATTTTAAAAGCCCACTTGTTAGACTCAATTACTTGCATAGTTAAGGCCTCAATATCTGCTTCAATGTCTGAGGTTTCAAAGTAAAGTAGCATGTGTTATAAAACCCGCGGGATGATAAAAAAAGTTATCTGTATGCACCAATAATAAAAGATTAGAAGAGCCTATTTTTATGTTCTTTCATATGCCTCTTGACCTAAAATAGAGCATCAATTAACATAATGCAGTAAAATTATCTGATGATTGCATCTTATGACAGCATTCACTGACTTAAGCTGCTAAGCAAGCTTGCTGGACAGGGCCAAGGACTGCCCAAACCTTGAATCCTAGATTTATGCCAAACAACACAAAATATATATGGTGATAATAGGGGCAAACAATGTACGGCAAGTAAAAAATTAGCTCCCGAACTTGGGAAACCCCAACAAAGAACTCTAGCAAACGATGTCCACCATGTCCATACTCTGCCAGATCAATCATGGCATATTGGAGGCGCGGCAACCTCCCAAATCACCAGCCATCGTCATCTTGCGAATCAACAACCAGAGTTTGGAGATTCGGCGCCTCAATCACGCAGTCAACAAGGGTGAACACCTCCACGAGCTCAAGGACACGAAGCAGGGGCGACCCCCGAATAATAGCTTGCAATTCCCTGTCTCCTTTGTCTGCGAAGTCGACATACCTTAGGTATAGCTCCTGGAGCACAGGAAAGCCGGCGAATCTAGATCGAGGGAAGGATGGAATGCCGCAACTCTGCAGATTGAGGGACACGAGACGGTCGCAGGAGAAGATAGAGGAGTGGAGGGTTAAGTGTCCTAAGCGCTTCCCCCACTCTTTGACGATGGAGATGGACTCGACGCTGCGGTGGGAGAGCGCGATGACCCAGTCGTCGACGTCGTCATCGTCGACGACGTAGGAGGCGAAGCGGGAGATGCTGGGTCCGGTGTAGCGGAGGAGGACGCGAGCGATGACCGAGGGGCGCGTGCCTTTGGGGAAGCAGAGGGCGAGGCCGGGGAGGGACTCCCAACGGCGGCGCCAGACGCACGAGAGCACGGAGGTCGAGGCGCGTCAAAATCTCGTCCAGCAGGTGCGCCGGGAGAGACGAAAGCATGTCGGCGGCCTCCGCCTCCGCCTCCGCCGGCGGCAATGGCTCCATCACCTGTAAGCCCCTGCGCACAGCAGATGGATCGATCTGCCGATAATGGCGGGACGCGTCAGTTCGTTCACGTGGGAATGCTAGAATGCGAGTTGGATTCGGGAACGCAACGAGAGGATGCTAGTAGGCTATACCAGCGTGGGTAGTAGGCAGCACCGACCTGGACCATGGACGGGAAAGATGGAGCAACGAGCAAGGCGAACCGCGGCCGCTGGAAGCTGGATGCCGGACGCCGGTGTCAGTAACGGAGCGGAGGCCGCCGGCGGCGGCGCCTGGTGGTGGTGGGGAGGAACTGAAACCGACTGGGAGGAAGGAATGGTGGAAAGGGAAGAAGGAGGACTGAATCGCGTGCGCGCGGTGTTATGGGCTTAGTTGGGCCCTCGACCCATCCACACGGCCTGCTAGACACAGTCGCCGTTGGATCCTACAGCTCGTAGCGGACGACGCAGATTGCGCCACTGTACAGCGACGACGTCGGCCTGAGCCTGCCTGACAGCCTGAGCGACGTGAACCCAAGCGTGCAAGCAACTAGCAAGCGGCGGTAATGGCGGCGGCTCTGCAAGCCACGCCGCTCAAAACCCTAGCCATCTCCCGCCGGCGCGTCGGCGGCGCGGGGGCGCGGCCGCGGCGGATGGCGGCAAGCTTCCGGTGCTCCGCGGCGGCGAGGAGCTACAACATCACGCTCCTCCCCGGAGACGGCATCGGCCCGGAGGTGGTCGCCGTCGCCAAGGACGTGCTCTCCCTCGCCGGCGCCCTCGAAGGTAAGCCGCTTCGTCACCATCCAATGCTTACCTTAGCTCCCTGGGCTCCGAGGCGCGAGCACCTAGCAGGATAATCATCCCCCTTATTTGCTTCCTTCCGCCCGCCGCAGGCGTCGAGCTCCGGTTCCAGGAGAAGCTGGTGGGCGGCTCCGCGTTCGACGCCACCGGTGTGCCGCTCCCCGACGAGACGCTCGACGCGGCCAAGGGTTCTGACGCTGTCCTCCTCGGCGCCATTGGAGGGTGAGCGGATTTGTTGTTGTCATTTCAGGAGCAGACACAGAGCTCACAGTATTGGCACTGCAGCGAATTGCATCCTTTTAATTGGAATTTCTCTCCCGCGTGGCCGCGTCTGCGCTATGAGTACTTAGATGACGTTTCGTGGTTGTAGCTATAAGTGGGATAACAATGAGAAGCACCTCAAGCCTGAGACCGGGCTGCTGCAGCTTCGTGCCGGACTCGGGGTTTTTGCCAATCTGCGACCAGCTGCAGTGTTGCCACAGGTACAAGCAGGTCGGGTTTTAGTTTCAGTACAAATTGTGTAAGCTTTACTATGCTCATCTAGTCACTAACTGCACTGGGACTCACAGCTAGGTTAGATAGTTACCCTGTCAGTTTGAGTCGAATTCTATCTGATTGACTCTGAATGCGTTGAATGAATGGTAACATGTAGTCACTTCAGTTTGAGTCGAATTCCATCTGATTGACTCTGAATGCGTTGAATGAATGGTAACATGTAGTCACTTCTTAATTGTACAGAGAGAAAAAAGGTCATGCAAGCATGAAACCAAGATTTGAGATGGATATTCTGAGATCATTTGTTTAATTGTTCATGGTTGTAATTATGAAAGTGCACTTGGATGCAGGTTTTAATTGAAACTACTGTATTTCTAGCTAATGTTACTTGACTGTCCTTTTTATAGCTACTTTTTTTTAACATCATGCTGTTTGTAGTTGGTAGACGCATCCACTCTGAAGAAAGAGGTAGCTGAAGGTGTTGACATCATGGTTGTCAGAGAGCTTACTGGAGGTAACTCTATCTGAATTTTGATAAAACACGGACCGTGGTTTTTGTTTCAATACCAATAGAAATCTGATTGTTCATTCTAATGAAACTCGTGGCTGCAAAGAGTAATCCATAATTTCCTGTGCCAGGCATCTACTTTGGCAAACCCAGGGGTTTTGGAACAAATGACAAGGGAGAGGATATTGGCTTCAACACAGAAGTTTATTCAGCTTCTGAGGTAACTCCGCCCTCCATTAGATATTCTACGATCCTTCCCATGACAAAAAAATATATATATATTTGAGATGCCACCTGTTCTGCTGTCCAAGCCTTAATTGGAACCAGTTAGGGATGCAGGATGTGGTTCGTAGGAGAATATCTATACCTGTATCCAGAACTCTTTATTTGATATTATTCAAATTAAGAATGCATTCATTTGTAAAATTTTGGTCCTTTTGTGTTTCATCCCCAGATTGATCGTATAGCACGTGTTGCATTTGAGGTTGCTCGCAAGAGAAGAGGAAAACTATGCTCGGTTGACAAAGCAAATGTTCTGGAGGTACTTTTTTTATACCTGTCTTAAATGCATATCAAAACTTGTTTTGAAGTGTATTCTGTGTGAAATGTTACTTTACCCTGTCTTTGAATTGAAATTCCATCTTTTGGTTACAAAATATAAAGAATTAGTGTTTCTATTTTTAGACTTTATTTTCTGTTATTGATATGCAAATATTTTTTAGCATTATGCTGACACTAGAAAACCCCTGAAAGTTTAAAAGTATTATGGTTGTGGACCTTTTCTAATTGCACATAGTTAATACAACCCTTTTGCTGCAATAATATTGTAGGCATCCATGCTTTGGAGGAAAAGGGTGACTGCACTAGCTTCGGAATTCCCTGACATTGAGCTCTCACACATGTATGTTGATAATGCTGCGATGCAGCTTGTTAGGAATCCTAAGCAGGTTTGCTTCTCTTCTTTCCCCTTTTCTCTTGACTTAATTCATCGCACCCTGGCTAAGCATCAAGAAGATGTGTTGATCTTAATTTCCTTTATTGCCACAGTTTGACACAATTGTCACAAACAATATTTTTGGTGACATATTATCTGATGAAGCATCAATGATTACGGGAAGCATTGGAATGCTTCCATCTGCCAGTGTTGGTGAATCGGTAATTGAATCCCTACAATGCTTTGGAGTTCTCTCAATTATTTATAGATGCCATTATATTCTGCTGAAAATTTAAAAGTGCAGCTGAAAATGCCATTCTGTTTCTATGCAGGGACCTGGTCTTTTTGAACCTATTCATGGCTCTGCCCCCGATATTGCTGGACAGGTTGAGATGACTTCTTTTTCGAAATGTTCTCTGACACTAGATGGGTTTAAATTATGTTTGTCTGAGATTTGCTTCCCCTCCTGTTATGTGTTGAGTGCAGGACAAGGCCAATCCATTAGCTACAATTCTTAGTGCAGCGATGCTATTGCGATATGGCCTAGGAGAAGAAAATGCTGCGAAGAGAATTGAAGCTGCAGTTACAGAAACACTGAACCATGGGTTCCGAACTGGGGACATATATTCTCCTGGAACAGTAAGATAGATTTTCCTGCAAAACCATTATTAATGCATTACGGGGGTGTTTCATTTGAGGAATCACCTCATCCTTAGTTGAGATGGTCCATCATGAATTCATCCCATGAATTTGGGTGGAATGGATCCAACCTTCATGCTTTTGCATTGCTTAGTTATTTTAATGAAGTTTTATTCTTACCTTCTCTATAAAAGAGGGTAAAACTTTTTAGCTTTATATTGTACATGTTTAATGTCAAGTGCTTGGTCCTTACCTAGAGAAGGTATGAAGATCCACATTAGACAAAATATTCAGGTAGTGTAATAGTATTTTGTTTTGAGGCTCTGGTTTATAGTGCTTCAAGCATATTAACTCTTTCATGTCTTCGTGGAAGATAGTGATAGCTAGTTTGCGAAGGCATGGGTTGTGTTTGAATTTTGGTTGATCTCATTCTGATTGGCTTGTGTTCTCAATTGGCAGACATTGGTTGGATGCAAGCAGATGGGGGAAGAAGTCTTGAAGACAGTGGAGTCACTAAAAGAAGTGGCTGCTGTAAACTGATACATGCTGATACTTAAGCTAAAACCCTACAGGATGAGATGGTTGAAAGAAATTTACATTTTATTAGAAGTTGAGCCTGGTGGAAGAGATCATTGCGTCTGGTTTATTGTTACTGTTGAATTGAAACTTTAGTGGCGGAACCGATAGCCACTTTTCATTTCTGCTGTTTGTTGGTCTCCCTGTAATTTAATTTTGTACAAGGCTGGATAAGCATATGTTCGCTCAATAAAATGGGATAGTTTATGCCAGTTGAATAAAAGATGGAATCTTTGTGGCTATGCGTTCAATTTACATGGGATACCTGTACATATACAATGTGTTTGGTGGTTGAATTTGTATGGATGGGATTGGACCATCCATGGATCACTCGGCGTTTGGTTGGATGAATCACTGGGACCAGTAAAACCATAGATATAGGCTCCGTTCGGCTTGTTGAATCTTTGCTGAAATTGGCTGAAAATACTGTTCTGGCTTAAAATGTTGTAAGAGAAAAACACTGTTTCGGTTGAAAAAAGAAACCGAACAAACCGGATATGGGGTAAGCCGAATGGGGCCATATACCTCCAGATGCTGGATTTACTGATTTGTTAAAATCTCGCGATTATCCATGTCATCTAATCTTTGTCATTAGTAAATAAATTAAGGATGATTAGTATGTTATATTATTACTTAGTAATTATGATGGTAGGATTAGTTTTGATAAGTGTTAATACGTTGATTAGTGCATGTTTCGTATGCTAATTATATTATTAGTTGTGCTAATTAATATATTTATTTTAGATTAGTGATTTTCATGGCAAAATTAGTATTAGTGCATATTTATTAGTGTCTATTTAGTTGTTATTATTTTTAAATAATAGATATAATTAGACAACTATTCTAATCCCGTCCATTTTCATCCATCCAACCAAACATAAAAATAGCTCTTCCTATTCATCCAACCAAACATGCATCATGAATATCTTTATCCCAATATCATGAATCATCATATCCCATCCAACTTCGTCCTCGAACCAAACGCACCCATACCGATCATTCGAGATGGCTGAACTCATTAGGCCATGCAAGTGGACCAATAATCTTGTTGGAGCTCATTATCTGTTGAGCTGTTCGATACACATGACCAAATTTCTTGATGACTACACTGAAGTGACAACAACAACAACAACAGGGCCGAGCTGGCTAGTCTACTGTTAGCAAACTGAAGTAAACACCAACCAGGGGAAAAATTCTACATCATCTACCGAAGCTGATACAATTGCTGGACTGGCAGTCTGGCAGAGGTGATTCAGGCAGGGCAGGCAACGTCACCAGTAGTCCTTGCAGGAGCACGCGCCATGCTCAAACCTGTGGAACCTGTTGGCGTCTCTGACTACCAGCGCCCTCCTCACGACGGCCGACAGTCCCTTAAAGAACTCGTGGCAGTCCCCGCACACCCGCAGGTTCTTGTACACCCTGATCGGCTCCCCGTGCCCGCCGTCCACGCCGTTGCGCAGCAGCCACAGGCCGACGGCGAGCCTCTCGCTGTGCGCCCGCAGGCTCTCCGCGCGGGACTCCTCGTCGACGTCGTGCAGCGCGAACTGCGCGTCGCCGGCGCAGTACCCGAGCTGCTCCCGCATCCTCGTCTCCACGTCCCTCAGGACGCGGCGGATGTCACCGGCCTGCGGCTGCGTCTCCTCGTCGCCGCCGCCGTAGAAGAAGTGCGGCCTTGTGGAATGTTTTTTCCGTATAAAAAGCACAACTAGGCAGCTCAAAGTTAGCTCGCCAATATTTCAGCATAAATATAAGTATTAGCTAAATTTTAGCATCAACGAGCAGGTAACAACATCGCTTGATCGCACGATGATATAGGCCTCGTTTAGTTGCCCGGAATCGGCGCCGATGAAATTACGGTAGATTACTGTAGCGCAATGTAGTATTTCGTTTGTATTCGGTAATGATTGTCCAATCGTTGACTAATTAGGCTCAAAACGTTCGTCTCATAAAGTACAACCAAACTGTGCAATTAGTTTTTGATTTCGTCAACATTTAGTACTCCATGTATGTACCGCAAATTTGATGTGACGAGAAATCTTCTTTTTACGTAGTGCTAAAGTTTGGATTTTGGTGAAAACTAAACATGGCCATAGTGTTTTTCTGCAACGTCAGCTGATTGCGAACAGGTGCGGTACCAACCAAATTCCATGCCGGTGCTCGTTTTTGTGCGGCTGTGCATGCATGAGCGTCACCCTTTTTTCTCTCATATACCAACGCAACGCAACGCAACGCAACGCGCGCACAAGCTGCTGCTGCCGCCAAGAACGATCAACATCATCTGGCTGCCTGACTGCCTCGGGATCTGCCAGAATAGAATATAATAGTATTTGCCTGATGGGGCCTGTCCTTGAGCAATGAGCAGGGGCAGCATTCTGACAAACAGCACGGCCCAAAAAATCCAACACTCGGGCCTTGTTTAGATGCATCCCAAATTCTAAGTTTTTTCACTCTCTCTCTATCACATCAATTTTTAGCCGTTTGCATGGAGTATTAAATGTAGGTAAAAAAAATAATTAATTACACAGTTTAGTTGGAAATCACGAGATGAATCTTTTGAGCCTAGTTGGTCCACGATTGGACAATATTTGTCAAATAAGACGAAAGTGGTACTATTCATCGGGTTGAAATTTTTTCGCAATCTAAACGAGGCCTCGGTTCCCCAAGGAGTCGGCCCGGGCCGAGCGTGCATTTCCCATCCGTGCATGCATGTCCTGCATTTCATTTCTTTTGTGGATTGGTATATTTTATTTTATTATCCGTTCACAAATAGTATTAATATTTATGTCTACAATCATCGGGACAAATACTAAGTTACCTGAAGAGAAGCTAACGACCATCAACATTGATTCATCCGAACAGTCAAGAGCGCGACTACAGCTCCAACCGACCCCGTGCGCGAAGGCTCTGACTCATCCGACCTCTGGAGGCGGGCTCCGCCTCACCCGACCTCTGGGGGCGGGCTCCGCCTCGTCCGACCCCGAGGCCACGGGCTCTGTCTCGCTCGACCCTTGGGTTCGTGCTCCGCCTCGCCCGACCCCGAGGCCTCGGACTCCGTCTCACTCGACGGAGACCCATACCACCGCCACCCACTCCAGGTCCAAACGTATGGCCCTAGGTCAAAACTCTGACACCAAGGAAGAGACCGGCACTCCTCGATGTAATCAGTGGCCATGACGGACCATACCTGAGGATTCACATCAAGAACATCGTCGGGCGTACCGGTGTTGTTCTGCCTACCTCCCGTACGAACGCTGACAGGCGCGTTAGCTCACCACGACTGTCGATAGAATATCGTCGGCAGTTCTCCTAGGGGTATCCCACGAAGGTAGATTGATCGGTAGAGGAGCGTGAGATCAAGAACAAGAAGGCAACAGAGACACACGAGTTAGACAGGTTCAGGTCGTCAGTATGACGTAGTACCTTACTCCTGTGGTCTGTTGGTTTGTTTTAGCTATCGTATGATATTGCGTGAGTTTGGAGGGGGTCTCTGTCCGCCTTATATAGTCCGGAGAGCAGGGTTATAAGTCGGTTAGATCTGAGAGATAACCGGAAAGTAATAACTGATTATAGGAATCTTGGGATCATACATATCCTAACAGATCTCGTAGTATCTTCAGGATATTTTCCAGATGTCTTGCGGAAGGCGCCGACCAGAGTCGTGCCCCGCAAAGCTTCATCTTGTGGGCTGGGCCGCCCCTGAGGGCGTAGCCCATGTGGTTTGCCGTGGGTATCCAGGGTCATACCCCCCACAACTAGTCCCCCAGCGCCTTGTACCCGTTGTGCAACGCCGTCTTGAGCTTGTCCGAGCAGGTGCGAACAAAGCTGAGCAGTCGAACTCATGGTCCGACTGCCGTGATGAGTTGCCGAGCAGTTGTGAGTAAATACCGAGCAACGAGTACTGCTACCGAGCAGCACGAACCGTAGCCGAGCAGGATAACCCAAGCATGGCTTGCCATAAGGGTGTAAGGAGCTCAAGTCCAGAATCGAAAATTTCTTCACAGTGGACCAAGTGTGCCCACTTAGAGTCCGACCACGAGAGAAGGAGTTAGTCTTGTTCAGCTTCAAGAGGCACGGAGTCTTCTAGAAAAAAACAAGCACAATCACCACAAGGTGAAATGTGCCCACTTAGTCCCCGAGCCTGACAGTAGATAACGTAGTCATTTGGTGCTAGGATCCAAAGTAGAAGAATAGAAGACCAGCCGAGCAGGCAGCCAGTCCCCGGGCGTAGACCCGAAAAGCACATTCACCGCAAGGTGAAGTGTGCCCACTTAGTACCCGAGCCTGACAGTAGGTGACGGAGTCACGTGGTGCCAGGGTCAAAAACAAAGAAATAGTGAAAAACCAGCCGAGCAGGTAGCCAGTCCCCGAGCCGCAAGCGGAGATATCGGAGGAATCCAACCGTGGAGAAAAAACCGGAGGAATGGCTATACAGTAACGGTTACTGAGCCTCAATAAATGGAGGAGAAGTCGGCGATTATTCGACGAGTAACAACTGACGGAGGGGATAAATGAGCGACGTGGGCTGCAGTTGCGTGAAAGCCCATTTAACGACCCATAAGTCACGTCGAAGAATTCGGAGAGGCGCAAATCGCAGGAACGGTTTCCCAAAAACCCTCGATTGTGAAACAGTTGATGGATTGTTTTTAACTGCGTCGCCGCACCCCACGCCCCCCACCTTTGGCATTTTGCCCTTTCATCTTCCTTCCCAGCTCTTGCGCTTCCCGATCCACATCGACGCGCGCACCCGCCTCCAATCTCAAACCAGATCTGGGAGAATGGCGCCGAAAAAGGGAGCTGCGAAGCCGAGGAAGGTGGCCGCCGGAGCCAGCCGCGACGAGGAATGGGTGTCATCGAAGATGGGGGAGGCAGAGCTCAACGGAATGGTAGCGGCGGGCGTTCTTCCAGACCGCGTCACCGCCGGATGGTGGCCAGCCAGCGGTGAGCCCTTCCCGACACCTCACACT